CTTTTTATGTTTGGTAGAGACCAAAGACACAACAAAAAATACCATAGGCAAAATGGTCTTTTTATGTGTGGTATTCAAGATTAGATTCTTTGAGACTTTTGGCACCACTTATTTTTTGTTTCCCATTGAAGGTTGAAGGTTTATTTAACTGAAGTTTAACAGAAAGTGTTGCTTTTGAGATGTGGTGGTTTTAAGTTGAAAGGTGTGTTATCCTTGTACAACTCATGGTACCAAGTCTCTCTTTAACACACACAGAATGGGGGTGGGGGGTGCAAATCTGAACCAAAATGGTTTCGGTTCACAAAACTTGTGTGTCTATCAAAAGAACACAAATTATGGCACCATTAGGTCGACCATAAAAGTTTAAGAGGCATTTTACTGAAATTTCTCTTTAATTGAAAAGTTAATATGATTTTCAATTTTAAACCACATTAAACACAAAATTGAAGTTGTTATTATTTGGTATGTCGAATTTCCTTTTGAGATTAACGACTGTATTAATTTCCGATTTTTACTGTATGTTTAATATCAAATTATTTATTCATTTTTGATAGTTACAAGTGACTAAAAATAGAAGTTTCGTGTAATCAAAAGGAGACTACAAAACTAATATGACATCACTCATTTCTTCCTTCTACTACTGCATCTTCTTGCTATTATAAATGTAACGTCGAGACCTAGAAATGTCCGATAATCTTGAAGAATCGTTGTAATTAATGTATCATGAGAAATAAACGTAGAGTTGACGACAAATTTGTTTTAGGTTGTTGGAATATGAGTCTTCCTCAAAACATCTTTTTTTGTCATATCACCTGCGATATCATTTTTCAAACTACTCCATTTTTACTAGAAAATATCCACCACATCACCACACCACTTTAAAAAGGAAAAAAATAAAAATGGACGTAATTTTTTTTCTTAACGTGCATTCAACAATGTTGAGAGGGCAAAGAGGCTTAATAACACCACATGCATACGGAGTGGTGTTCTCATCCTCCCAATACTATTGAGGGTTTGCCACATCATCTCCTAAAGATGCTATATTAAACAACTAGGTGTGAGACTCATATATTACATGAGTTTATTTAAAAGAAAAAATAAATCATTTGAGAAGTTTGAATTTATAAGAAAACTAAGAAAAATAAAGAATTATTAAAATTAAAGTGTTTTTTTCTCTTTTAAATTCAAACAGATAATTCAGATAAATAAATAAAAGAAACTAGTGATGCTTTAATTTGAGAATTTTGAAATTAAAAAGAAAGTCAATTAATAAAATTGACATGCATTTAATATTATATTTATTGTAATTTTACATTTAAATAGTATGTGAAATTTACTAAAATGGAAAAAAAAAACCATAAAATGACATGTGAATTTTTTTTTTTTAAATAACCACAAAATGATATGAGTCAAAATGATTGAAAGTGTGACATGCGAGAAAAAGATCTTTATTTATTAGAGTAGATTAGAGTAGATGCTTCAACTATTTTTTATTACTTTTTGTTTTTTTCGTATATTACTGTAAATTTTTTCTTAGAATTTTCAAGGTTAAAACATAAAATTTTTTGTTGTTAAAACATAAAATTTATTTTGATTTATGAACTACAATAAGATATGGGTATGAAGGTTACAATACTTATAAATCAGGATAATGACCTGAAAGGGTAACAAACATTTAGCTTTGTTGACATTTAGTCATTGAATTTTTTTCGTACTTGATTCACCCATGAATTATTTGAAATTGTCACATTTTACTTTTATGACTGGTTGTAACTGGTCATAAGGGTAAAATGTGAATATTTTCAAATAATTCAGGGGTAAATCACGCACGAAAAAAGTTCAATGACTAAATATGAACAAAATTGAAAGTTTGTTGCCCTTTCAAGTCATTATCTCATAAATGGTTCTAAATGTTGTTAAGAATGAGCACAACTGGAATATTGAGTTCACATAAGTGAGTATGTTGTAATATTCGTGTGATATACCTTTAGTGTATAAGGTACAAAAAACAACACTTAGAAATGCAGTAGGAAAGACTTCAATTACATAGAAACTGAAGAAAAAAAAATGTGGTGAGTTCAAACATTTACTTAGAACATATGTGACAGTTTTCACTCTAGAGGGTGGAGATGGTTCGTTGTAGATCATACGAGGAATAGAGAACATATGATAAAAAAGTGTGAAGATAATGTGATGTTAGATTTGAATGGGTTTTTTCTCGTTACAACAACACGACCATGATCTTATGCATCCACAATCTTTAATCAAAGCTCTTGTTGTTGTAAAGAGAAAAACATCATTCAAATCTAACATCACATTATTTTCACACTTCTTTATCATATGTTCCCTCTTCCTCGTACAATCTACATCGACCATCTCCACCCTCTAGAGTAAAAACTGTCGCCTATGTCCTAAGTAAGTGTTTGAACCCATCACATTTTTTTTCTTCGGTTTCTATGTGATTGAAGTCGCTCCTACTACATTTCTAAGTGTTATTTTTTGTACCTTATATACTAAAGTTATATCACACGAATATTACAACATACTCAGTTGTGTGACCTTAATATTCAGTTTATGCTAGGGGTGTTCACAGGGCGGTTCGGTTCGGATAGTAATAAAATTGTGAACGGTGACCACGGGGCGGGTACCTCATGCGCACTAACCGAAACCGAACCGTATTGACAAATAACCGAACCGAACCGAACCGTATGAAAGCGGGTAACCACAGTTCAGTTCACGGGTACCCGGTAAAATATATAAAATTAAATTCAGTTGAAACTACAAACTCCATTTTAGTTATCTCTTTCTTAAAATTAGTATGTCAAAAAGTTTTAAAAAAACATAATAATATCATATATTATAATTTGTATAATACAATAATAAAAATAACAAGAAAATCAAACAAATTTAGAATTACAAAATTTAGAGTTGTCAATATGGATTTTTGTTTAGGTTATTGGACTCGTAGATCAATCGAAACAATACTAATGAAATAATATTTTTTTTTACTTTATATATATATATATATATATATATATATATATATATATATATATATATATATATATTATCAAACGGTTCAGTTCGGGTATCCGCGGATACCTAAATATCAAAACCAAAAACCGACTCGTTGATATCCGGTATTTTCGGTTTCGGTTTTTTTCGGTTTCGAATTGGCCGGTTCGGCTCGGTTTTTCGGTTTTACGGTTTTTTTGCACACCCCTAATTTATGCTCATTCTTAATAACATTTAGAACCATTTATGAGATAATGACTTAAAAGGGTAACGAACTTTCACCATTGTTCAAACATTTAGTCACTGAACTTTTTTTATGCTTGATTTGCTCCTAAATTATTTTATATTGTTCACATTTTACTCTTATGACTGGTTATAAATGGTCATAAGGGTAAAATATGAACAATTTCAAATAATTCATAAGTAAATCAAACACAAAAAAAAATAAAAAAATTAAATGACTAAATGTAAACACGATCAATCTAAAATAGTATTTTTTTTAATAATATTGAAGGACCCCTATGTTATATATTCTAAAGAGTAAGTTACACGAATGGTCCTTATGGTTTAGAGTAATTTGCGCGTTTCGTCCCTGTCTTACATAAAAAAAACTATTTTGCACGAATGGTCCCTAACTTATTTTTTTAACTCGGAAGTTACCTACTGTTTGTTTTTGTTACACGCTTGGTCCCTGTCTTACATAAAAAAACTATTTTGCCATTGATTTTTTCAATTTATTTAAATAAAAACACCTTCAGCCCCATCCATTCACCTTAGCTTACATACCCTACCATTTTTTCCTATTTAAATAATAGTCTTTTTAGGTAAGAAAGGGACTAAACGTGTAACAAAAACAAACAGTAGGGACCAAGCGCGTAACAAAAACAAACAGTAGGGACCTTTCGAGTTAAAAAATAAGTTAGGGACCATGCACGCAAATTATCCCAAAACATAGGGACCATTCGTGTAATTTACTCTATTCTAAAAGTATTAAAAATACATAAACGTGTGTTAAGCGAAAAACAAAATAATAAACGTATGCGATGACGTATGTACGTTATAGAAGAAGGAATGAATAGCTGGTGATTCCTTTTTTGGAACGAATGGTCAAGAAGTTGGACTATTCTTCTTCCACCATACGTCCATACAAAACCCTCCACCGTGCAATCAGACTGCTTACGTCATCTCCGCCACCGACCGCGAAGTATCTTACTTTCCACGTGGCACACATGACACAAGTGGTGGATATGAATATGAAGCCCAGTGATTTTCGTAATTAAAGAAACCATATGTTTGGGTACTGGGTAGGGTAATGCCTGTTAAAGTATTTCTAAAATATCTCAAAATTCAAATAGATTAAAGTAAAATTTCCATTCCTTTTATATCTATATGTTTTGGTTTTGGTAGAAAAATGTTAAATTATATTGTCTCATGATATTTTCGGTTTTTGTTTGTTGTCGTCTATCAGATTCTTTGTAAAATGTTTATCGTTTTTTTTCTTTTTTAATTATTTTTTTTTTTGGTATTTTTACCAATGTTCCTATTTATTTTGGATTAGTTTTGAAGGTAAATACTCTTTAATCCTATTTTTAGTTCTATATATTTGTCTACGAAACGAAATTAAACTTTCAACCACTTAAAAAAAAAGACATATTTCTTGCAAATCTGGATGCTACAGGACCAAATGCCAAACCCTTTGGTTATTTTGGTTTTACTCGTTGAATCTACGGGGGTGTTTGGTACAAGGAAATAAAAGCTGGGAAAAGAAATTGATTCATTTTCTCTTGTTTGTTTAATACAAAAATTAACGAATTGGGAAATAAATCAATTCCTTTTCCATTAAATCTATTCTTTATTTTTAAAAGAGAAAATGGAGAAAACAAAAAAGAGGGTGTGACCGAGAATAAAAAAAAAGCGGAGAAATCAGTTTGCCCCCCATTCGAACCCTACTACATACAATCGATCAATATTTTTCAAGGATTTCCATGCAATCGGCCCACGTAAGTGAACATATTCAATCTCGTTTGCCCTACATAAGCCGCTACATATGGAAAAATCATTCACGACTGTTGTGTTACTCGATTCATGCCTTCTTTGTAGCTCCTTCTTAGTCGATTTTGGAACCGTCATCTTCCAATACAAGGTAATCTTCCTATCTGGTTTTTAAAATTTGTTAACATCTTGCTACAAATTGATTCTCTATCAAGTTTATATAAGGTTTTTGATGTTAAAATTGATTCTCGCTATGTTACAAACAATTGTGTCACTAGATAAGTGTTGACTGTCAAAAAGAAAGCAACGAATCTTTTCATTGATTGCAATTTGTTAATAGGTTATGTATGTACAACGGAAAGTTGTTTTACTGTTTTTTTTTTTTTTTTTTTTTTTTTTTGGGAATTTTTACCCTACTTTGAATAAAATAAAATGTTCATACTAGCTCCGAATGAACAAATTTTTTTTCCCAGATTGTAGTCCTCTATGTTAGCTACAATGTGGGCTCAAAAAACAGCTTAACTGGTTAAGACTGTTATACATTGTTACAACATTTTATATAATTTTTGTCAAACTTTGAACCATCATAAAAGTCTCATACGAGCTCGGAATTAGGCGATTTTTTTTCCAAATTGTAGTCATCTGTGTTGTCTATGCTTTAGGATAATAAAATAGTTTAATTGGTTAAGATATGGATGAGTTATACAGCCTTAAACAGTGACTGTTACGACTGTTGTATATTATTACAACATTTTTTATAATTTTTGTCAAACTTTGAACCATCATAAAAGTCTCATATGAGCTCGAAATTAGGCGATTAATTTTCCCAAATTGTAGTCCTCTGTGTTGTCTACACTTTAGGATAATAAAACAGTTTAATTGGTTAAGATATGGATGAGTTATACAGCCTTAAACAGGGGCTGTTACGATTGTTGTATATTACTACAACATTTTTTATAATTTTTGTCAAACTTTCAACCATCATAAAAGTCTCATACAAGCTCAGAATTAGGCGATTTTTTTCCAAATTGTAGTTCTCTGTGTGTCTACGCTTTAGGATAATATAAAACAGCTTAATTGGTTAAGATATGGATGAGTTATACAGCCTTAAACAGGGGCTGTTACGACTGTTGTATATTATTATATCATTTTTTATAATTATGTTAAACTTTGAACCATCATAAAAGTCTCATAGGAGCTCGGAATTAGGTGATTTTTTTTCTAAATTGTAGTTCTCTGTGTTGTCTACGCTTTAGGATAATAAAACAACTTATTTGGTTAAGATATGGCTGAGTTATACAACCTTAAACAGGGGTTGTTACGACTGTTGTATATTATTACAATATTTTTTATAATTTTTGTCAAACTTTGAACCATCATAAAAGTTTCATACGAGCTCGAAATTAGGCGATTTTTTTCCTAAATTTAGTCCTCTGTCTTGTCTACGTTTTAGAATTAAAAAAATAGCTTATTTGGTTAAGTTATGACTGAGTTATACTACCCTAAACAGGGGCTATTAGGACTGTTGTATAATATTTTGTATTCATTGTGGTGTGATAATATTATGTTTAATGGTTGAATTACTATTTCAAGCATCTATTATGTAAATACTTTTGTAGGCATGGCAGGGCGAAATAAATACACAGGGACTACCGAAGAGGATGCAAAGTTGATTGAAGCATTGTTGGAGTTACATGTATCCGGAAATTATGGTGGTGCCGACAACGGATTCAAACCCGATTATTTGAAGGCCGTGCAACAATTGTTAGACTTAAGTCTTCCTAACTCGGGTTTGAAAGCAGAGCCTCATATTAAATCGTAGATGAAGACATGGAAAAACCATTTCAACATCGTGCATGACATGGTATACGTAACAAACACGAGTGGATTCTGCTGGGTTACGGATAAATGTTGTGTTACAGCTGATGCTGAAGTTTGGGATGAGTACATAAAGGTACTATAATGATTATGTTTGTAGTATTTTTTGCATCATTAAAACATATTGTAAATGAATAGTAACCAATTAATTTTGTGCCGTTCTTGTAGAGTCATAAAGGTGCTGTATGTTTTTGCGATAAACCATTTCTACAATTCGATAACCTATGTAAAATCTTCAGTAAGGATAGAGCTACTGGTCATGGAGCTACTGATCTTGGAGAAGATGTGACTGAAGAGACACAAAGAAACTCACCTGTTGATGTGGAAGGGTTGGAAGATATTGTTGAAGAGACACAACAAATTGCTCGTGGCAATAGTAAATGCAAAAGGCCTCTAACGGATGACACCGAAAGCTCTTATAAGGAAGCTGCGAAAGAAATGAAATAGACTTTCAAGGAGGTTGGTGAAAAACTTAAGGAAACAATATACAATATAGGAAGGCAAGAAAATAAGGAAGCATGTGATATGATAGATAAAGTTATCGAAGATATACAGCGCATGCCAAATATCAATGTCAAACAGCGAATTAAGGCGATTGACATGTTTAGCAAAGATAAATTTCGTGCCCGGGCGTTTTTTAAGATGACAGAAGAAGAAAAGATTTGTTACATGGAAATGATAGGGGATGGATCAATATCATGATTAGGTTATTTTAAGTTATGTTTTTTTTTAGTTTTTACGAATATTGAAGTTGACTCTTTGCACATTCTGTATTAGACATAGTTATGTTTTTTTTAGTTTTTAGAAATATTGAATTATAATTTTTGCATATCCTTCATTGGTCATAGTTTTTGAATAGTATGATTTTCATATTTCTTTAAAATCTATTTATAAGTTACTCATTTATATTAGAAATATGTTTTCCAAAACAATATGTATAAAAAAATAATATTAATTGATTAGAAAATAAATTATTTAGTAACAATTAATATAAAAATAAAAAATAAGAAAACATAAAAGATGCATATTTTGACTAATTAAGATGTATATCATAATGCATTTTTATAAAAAAATGTTATTTGAAAATGAATAAACAAGGTAAAAACACTCATTTCCATTTCATTGATTAATACAACCAAACAAGAGAAATGATTCTCAAAAACATTTCTCTAGTGGATTCTCAGTTCTACCAAACAGGGAAGTCAATTCTCTTTCTCCAGCTTAATTTTCTTTCTCTGCATTTCCATTCTCTGCATCAATTCCATTTCTCTGTACCAAACGCACCCTAATATTGTCACTCAAATTCTACCTGTCTACCATCAACTCGATCTATCATAAATAAGTAGTAAATCTTGAACATATTTTATTAAATTCTGTATTTTAAGTGTCTGGCTACCATCATAAGAGATCCATTAACTATTTATATGTATTGCACACGAATGCATTTTTCATCATTCATCTCTCTTTATCTTTATCTCCTGTTAACATCATTTCATCCTTATTTGTTGGTTGTTTTCTTTCCAATCTTCCAACATTAATCTTCAATACCATCTACTCTATACAAATAAAGAATATGAATAAAGAAAACAAAGTACATAAAATTTCTATTGAACACACCCCTCGTATTCGTACTTGTAGGCTTTTGAACTATAATGCTATTCGGAGTGGAGTATAAACTCACGCCTGAAAGCTGAATTGGCAGCCTAAGGGACGCGCGTACACCGCCCCAACGTCCGATGGCTTGGCTGTGGAGTCTCTAAGAAGACGACCAGTATCACCCAAACTGCTACGAACAACAACGACCACAACAATTCAATCAACACCAATTCTAAGTCTTTCAACAACAACCTTCTCAATAATTTTAACCCCTATCTTCTTAACCTCAACAATTTTATGCACAACCTTCACAACCATCTCAAGTCACATTATCTCAATCTCAACCTATAAACCTCGACAATGACGATGACGAACGAGTCCATGAAACACAACAACTAACTCGAAGAATGAAAAAAAAGGAAAATAACAAAAAAAAAACTACGCAAAGGAGCGAGGACGAGGAGCAAGCTTTAGCAAAAGCTTGGATTTTCATATCGCAAGACGGGCAAGTCGGGAACGCGCAATCGAGTCAAATTTGTTGGAATCGTATTTTAGACCACTTTCACACACTATTAGGAAGGGAAACGGACCAAGCGTACGACTTGGTCAATGCAAAATGGCGTGACCTACGAGTGGCTTGCACCAAATTTAATGACATATTTGACAATCTTAAAAATATGCACAAAAGTGGTAACAACGCTTTTAATATTTTATCAACCTTATGCTACCAATACAAAATTACCAATAATGACAAATCATCCGGCAACAAAAAAGCGTGGGAAGTTTATCGTAAAAGGTCCAAAATGGGTCATTTATCCGGGTGAGGCGCATTCGAAATCTACCAACGGCTCCAACAAAAGGCCAAGAACATTCGAGTCAGACATTGGGTTTTGGCCTCGACCTCAATGATGACTTCAACGATACCGAGGGGGAGGGTCCACCGGAAGACCAACTTCGTTGACCACCAGGAAGGGACAAAGCGAAAAAGGCTACGTCTTCAAGCGCAAAAGCGAGTAGCGAAGACGTACTTGCAGAAAAAACAGAAAAAAACTCTAACTTTTCTAGAAAAAAAAATTTGAATCAACGGAGGGAGCTCGTCGCCAAAAGCACTTACCGATCTTCAAATCATTAACAGAAAGCCCCAACCGGATCTTGACCCGAAAATCTAGGGACATTATTAAAAATCCAACAAGTCTGCGAAAAATATGGAAATTAGGTTCTAGTGTTTTAATATTTAGGTTTTATTTGGTATGTTTTAGTAATTTAGTTTTAAATTTTTATACGTAATTTAGGATTTAAATTTGTGTGTTTTTAATTAATGTAATGTGTTTTTAATTAATGTAAAGTATTTATTTATGTTTTACATAATGCTTTTTATTTAATCTAATGACAAAATAAAAAATAAAAAATCAACAACAAAATGCTTTCGTGGTTTGGTAGTAGACATGTAGTGGAGCTGACGTGACGCTGAGTTGGCATCACTTTTCTAGTGGGTTGGTTGTGACCATACTCCATAGCCTAAGGTGTTGTTTGGTTCGCAAAATGTTTATGAAGGAACTAAAATTGGAAAATGAATCCGTCAGAAATTTGAATCCAATTTCATATCCTGTTTGGTTAGCAGGAAATGAAATTAGACTTAATTCCAGTTTTACAATAGGAAATGAAATTAGAATCCATGTAAAATGACAGAATTACCTTTTTTTGTCAGTTTTGCTTAATTTTACTTTATTTTCCAGCTTATATGTAAAGATACATGATATAAATTATAAAAATAGTAAAATATCGGCAATGGCGGTGACAACAATGATGGTGGAGGTAGTGGAAGTAGTAGTGGTGACATTGGTGTTAGTGGTGCTAGGTGATGGTAATGGTGGTGGCTGTTGGTGATTTTAGTGTTATTAACATATTTTGGTGTAATGATTATTAATAATGAGATAGACTGAGCTCCATTTACTAACCGAGCTTGGAGGTGCGAGGTGCACACTCGGTGTGATGAATGTGAACTCAGGAATACGGGGGTCCGGGGGCAACCCCCCTAGGTGTAGGGTTCCAAGGGGCTGCAACTCCTTGGCAGGGTCTAAGGGAATCACCCCTAGCAGGGTCCAAGGGGTGTTGGATTAGTGTCTAAGTCCATAACTATATTTGGTATGTACTTGACCCGGTTGACATGGTCCATTTGGGTTGCATGGCATCATGTATTTATAGATAGAAATAAAATGAGAGAAATAACACTTAAGGTTTGGTAATATATTATAAGTTCTAATATATTAATAAGATTATTTAGATAGTATTGATCAAGAATTAATTTGGAATTAATTAAGTGATAAAAAAGGAGACTAATTAAATATATGAGTTGATTGTGTAAATCATCCATACTTGTATAATGTGCTAATGCTCCATGGATTATCTAGTTGGGCTAAAAACCATAGGATGCTCCATGGTGTTTTTGTACCCATGGATCATGGAAATGAAAGGCCATGACAATTAGGGTTTACATGGTGTAACCCTAATTGTGACACACTATATAAGCATCTTATTCTTCCCTTAATCGGCGACCATGAGAAGACTATGATGGAATGGTTGAGGGCTAGCCGATTTCATGAAGTGGTTCATTTCTCTCTAAGTTATTCCAAGTGTATTTGATGTTGTGTGAACCATTTGAGGTGTCACACTTGGGGCACTCGGCTCTTAAGCATCAAGGAATCAAGCTACATAAAAAGGTATGTCTTCTAACTTGTTTTATTAACCAAGTATCAAAGATTGTATGCTAGATAGGGTAATACCTGGGAATATTCTATTTACCTGTATAATAGAGAAAACATAGATCCAAGGTATTTAGGGTTGCATGTACACTTAGGAGTGTTAGAATGCTCAAAACCCTTCAGTGGTATCAAAGACTAGGCTTGTTTTCAATTATACTTGATGCAAAGTGCGGTGAAAAATGCTGAAAAAAATCGATTTTCGGGCTGTCTGGGCACTGGACTCGTCGAGTCCACTGATGGACTCGCCGAGTCAATGAGGAAACTCATCCTAAACTGTTTTTGAACCTATAAACCTGTTTTTGATGTGGTAATGTTCATTCTAATCCAATTTCAAAGATAATTGTCAATAGATTCATGTTTTGTATTAGTTTAATGGTTTAGCTAATTACATTAAAAAGTTTGATTGAATTATCTTGTTCTTATGAGTTGCTTAGATTAATAGAAAAGTTATGTGAAAATTTTGTTTTCAATCCAAATTAATCTAAAAGTTGATTCTAAAACATGTTTTTGTAACTTGTCCTCAAGTTATATGAAAAGTCACATTTAAGATTCATAAAACTCATAATATTTCCATAGGTTATGAATAAAGAAAAGTCATATTCTTTCAATAGTTTAAAGTCTTCCATAACTTGTCCTCAAGTTATGGAACTTGAAGAGTTTTTGAATTTAAAACTACTTTAAACACATAAGTTATGGAATTGAATAGTTTTGAATAGTTTCAAAACTTGCCCTCAAGTTTTGGAATTTGTAAAGTTTTCCCTTATGACTACTTTAATTCCAAGTTAAGCCCTTAGAATTTTAAAAGTTAAAATTCAACCCTTATACTTTATAGTATTATAAGTTAATAATTATATATATATATATATATATATATATATTATATATATATATATATATATAAAAGAGCAAGTCAGTCTTACCGTTAGTAGGCCTCATTCACGAAGCTGGTCTATAAGGGGGGTATAACGTTACTTCCTATAAAATGGCAGTTTAATGGGTGTCCACTCTCACCCACCGCATCCTTGACTGGTGGAGGGTCGTTAGCCGAACGGGTAGGACAAGGACTAGAATTCTCCCTTCATTAAAAGT